TGCATGTGTTGTGAGGATTTGCAGCGGGTTTCTTCATTTGCATGTGTTGTGAGGATTTGCAGCGGGTTTCTTCATTTGCATGTGTTGTGAGGATTTGCAGCGGGTTTCTTCATTTGCATGTGTTGTGAGGATTTGCAGCGGGTTTCTTCATTTGCATGTGTTGTGAGGATTTGCAGCGGGTTTCTTCATTTGCATGTGTTGTGAGGATTTGCAGCGGGTTTCTTCATTTGCATGTGTTGTGAGGATTTGCAGCGGGTTTCTTCATTTGCATGTGTTGTGAGGATTTGCAGCGGGTTTCTTCATTTGCATGTGTTGTGAGGATTTGCAGCGGGTTTCTTCATTTGCATGTGTTGTGAGGATTTGCAGCGGGTTTCTTCATTTGCATGTGTTGTGAGGATTTGCAGCGGGTTTCTTCATTTGCATGTGTTGTGAGGATTTGCAGCGGGTTTCTTCATTTGCATGTGTTGTGAGGATTTGCAGCGGGTTTCTTCATTTGCATGTGTTGTGAGGATTTGCAGCGGGTTTCTTCATTTGCATGTGTTGTGAGGATTTGCAGCGGGTTTCTTCATTTGCATGTGTTGTGAGGATTTGCAGCGGGTTTCTTCATTTGCATGTGTTGTGAGGATTTGCAGCGGGTTTCTTCATTTGCATGTGTTGTGAGGATTTGCAGCGGGTTTCTTCATTTGCATGTGTTGTGAGGATTTGCAGCGGGTTTCTTCATTTGCATGTGTTGTGAGGATTTGCAGCGGGTTTCTTCATTTGCATGTGTTGTGAGGATTTGCAGCGGGTTTCTTCATTTGCATGTGTTGTGAGGATTTGCAGCGGGTTTCTTCATTTGCATGTGTTGTGAGGATTTGCAGCGGGTTTCTTCATTTGCATGTGTTGTGAGGATTTGCAGCGGGTTTCTTCATTTGCATGTGTTGTGAGGATTTGCAGCGGGTTTCTTCATTTGCATGTGTTGTGAGGATTTGCAGCGGGTTTCTTCATTTGCATGTGTTGTGAGGATTTGCAGCGGGTTTCTTCATTTGCATGTGTTGTGAGGATTTGCAGCGGGTTTCTTCATTTGCATGTGTTGTGAGGATTTGCAGCGGGTTTCTTCATTTGCATGTGTTGTGAGGATTTGCAGCGGGTTTCTTCATTTGCATGTGTTGTGAGGATTTGCAGCGGGTTTCTTCATTTGCATGTGTTGTGAGGATTTGCAGCGGGTTTCTTCATTTGCATGTGTTGTGAGGATTTGCAGCGGGTTTCTTCATTTGCATGTGTTGTGAGGATTTGCAGCGGGTTTCTTCATTTGCATGTGTTGTGAGGATTTGCAGCGGGTTTCTTCATTTGCATGTGTTGTGAGGATTTGCAGCGGGTTTCTTCATTTGCATGTGTTGTGAGGATTTGCAGCGGGTTTCTTCATTTGCATGTGTTGTGAGGATTTGCAGCGGGTTTCTTCATTTGCATGTGTTGTGAGGATTTGCAGCGGGTTTCTTCATTTGCATGTGTTGTGAGGATTTGCAGCGGGTTTCTTCATTTGCATGTGTTGTGAGGATTTGCAGCGGGTTTCTTCATTTGCATGTGTTGTGAGGATTTGCAGCGGGTTTCTTCATTTGCATGTGTTGTGAGGATTTGCAGCGGGTTTCTTCATTTGCATGTGTTGTGAGGATTTGCAGCGGGTTTCTTCATTTGCATGTGTTGTGAGGATTTGCAGCGGGTTTCTTCATTTGCATGTGTTGTGAGGATTTGCAGCGGGTTTCTTCATTTGCATGTGTTGTGAGGATTTGCAGCGGGTTTCTTCATTTGCATGTGTTGTGAGGATTTGCAGCGGGTTTCTTCATTTGCATGTGTTGTGAGGATTTGCAGCGGGTTTCTTCATTTGCATGTGTTGTGAGGATTTGCAGCGGGTTTCTTCATTTGCATGTGTTGTGAGGATTTGCAGCGGGTTTCTTCATTTGCATGTGTTGTGAGGATTTGCAGCGGGTTTCTTCATTTGCATGTGTTGTGAGGATTTGCAGCGGGTTTCTTCATTTGCATGTGTTGTGAGGATTTGCAGCGGGTTTCTTCATTTGCATGTGTTGTGAGGATTTGCAGCGGGTTTCTTCATTTGCATGTGTTGTGAGGATTTGCAGCGGGTTTCTTCATTTGCATGTGTTGTGAGGATTTGCAGCGGGTTTCTTCATTTGCATGTGTTGTGAGGATTTGCAGCGGGTTTCTTCATTTGCATGTGTTGTGAGGATTTGCAGCGGGTTTCTTCATTTGCATGTGTTGTGAGGATTTGCAGCGGGTTTCTTCATTTGCATGTGTTGTGAGGATTTGCAGCGGGTTTCTTCATTTGCATGTGTTGTGAGGATTTGCAGCGGGTTTCTTCATTTGCATGTGTTGTGAGGATTTGCAGCGGGTTTCTTCATTTGCATGTGTTGTGAGGATTTGCAGCGGGTTTCTTCATTTGCATGTGTTGTGAGGATTTGCAGCGGGTTTCTTCATTTGCATGTGTTGTGAGGATTTGCAGCGGGTTTCTTCATTTGCATGTGTTGTGAGGATTTGCAGCGGGTTTCTTCATTTGCATGTGTTGTGAGGATTTGCAGCGGGTTTCTTCATTTGCATGTGTTGTGAGGATTTGCAGCGGGTTTCTTCATTTGCATGTGTTGTGAGGATTTGCAGCGGGTTTCTTCATTTGCATGTGTTGTGAGGATTTGCAGCGGGTTTCTTCATTTGCATGTGTTGTGAGGATTTGCAGCGGGTTTCTTCATTTGCATGTGTTGTGAGGATTTGCAGCGGGTTTCTTCATTTGCATGTGTTGTGAGGATTTGCAGCGGGTTTCTTCATTTGCATGTGTTGTGAGGATTTGCAGCGGGTTTCTTCATTTGCATGTGTTGTGAGGATTTGCAGCGGGTTTCTTCATTTGCATGTGTTGTGAGGATTTGCAGCGGGTTTCTTCATTTGCATGTGTTGTGAGGATTTGCAGCGGGTTTCTTCATTTGCATGTGTTGTGAGGATTTGCAGCGGGTTTCTTCATTTGCATGTGTTGTGAGGATTTGCAGCGGGTTTCTTCATTTGCATGTGTTGTGAGGATTTGCAGCGGGTTTCTTCATTTGCATGTGTTGTGAGGATTTGCAGCGGGTTTCTTCATTTGCATGTGTTGTGAGGATTTGCAGCGGGTTTCTTCATTTGCATGTGTTGTGAGGATTTGCAGCGGGTTTCTTCATTTGCATGTGTTGTGAGGATTTGCAGCGGGTTTCTTCATTTGCATGTGTTGTGAGGATTTGCAGCGGGTTTCTTCATTTGCATGTGTTGTGAGGATTTGCAGCGGGTTTCTTCATTTGCATGTGTTGTGAGGATTTGCAGCGGGTTTCTTCATTTGCATGTGTTGTGAGGATTTGCAGCGGGTTTCTTCATTTGCATGTGTTGTGAGGATTTGCAGCGGGTTTCTTCATTTGCATGTGTTGTGAGGATTTGCAGCGGGTTTCTTCATTTGCATGTGTTGTGAGGATTTGCAGCGGGTTTCTTCATTTGCATGTGTTGTGAGGATTTGCAGCGGGTTTCTTCATTTGCATGTGTTGTGAGGATTTGCAGCGGGTTTCTTCATTTGCATGTGTTGTGAGGATTTGCAGCGGGTTTCTTCATTTGCATGTGTTGTGAGGATTTGCAGCGCGTTTCTTCATTTGCATGTGTTGTGAGGATTTGCAGCGCGTTTCTTCATTTGCATGTGTTGTGAGGATTTGCAGCGGGTTTCTTCATTTGCATGTGTTGTGAGGATTTGCAGCGGGTTTCTTCATTTGCATGTGTTGTGAGGATTTGCAGCGGGTTTCTTCATTTGCATGTGTTGTGAGGATTTGCAGCGGGTTTCTTCATTTGCATGTGTTGTGAGGATTTGCAGCGGGTTTCTTCATTTGCATGTGTTGTGAGGATTTGCAGCGCGTTTCTTCATTTGCATGTGTTGTGAGGATTTGCAGCGCGTTTCTTCATTTGCATGTGTTGTGAGGATTTGCAGCGCGTTTCTTCATTTGCATGTGTTGTGAGGATTTGCAGCGCGTTTCTTCATTTGCATGTGTTGTGAGGATTTGCAGCGCGTTTCTTCATTTGCATGTGTTGTGAGGATTTGCAGCGCGTTTCTTCATTTGCATGTGCTGTGAGGATTTGCAGCGCGTTTCTTCAGTTGCATGTGTTGTGAGGATTTGCAGCGCGTTTCTTCATTTGCAGCGCATGTGTTGTCAAACTGATGAAGATGTTTTCTTAATTTGCTGGTGTTTTTTCAATTGCAGCGCGTTGAGCTCTCTCGGCCACTGTATTAAATAGTTCAACTCGACTCAAATAGTAGATGGGAAAGCCTTTGCATGAAATGTCAGTGAAAAAAATCAGGTAAATTAAATGAATTAAAAGAATAGTTTACCCACAAATAACAATTTACTGAAAATGTATTCACCCTCAGGCCATCCAAGATATAGATGAGTCTGTTTCTTCTTGAGAACAGATTTGAAGAAATTTAGCATTACATCCAATGGATCCTCTGCAGTAAATGGGTGCCATCAGAATGAGAGACCAAACAGCTGATTAAAAAAAAAAATCACTAAGAAACAAATCCATCAAGACGTTTTAACTTGACTGACATACGAGTCCATCCATAACTGGAGGAAGCGTTAATATGGATTATGGACTGGTATTTTGATGGAAAGTTAAATTTTTTAGGTTTTAAAATGCCTTCATGGTGGATTTGTTTCTAACAAACAAGCAACTTGTCACTTCTCAAGACATTAATCGATGGTCTGGATTATTGTGATGTTTTAACCAGCTGTTTGGACTCTCGTTCATGGCACCCATTCACTGCAGAGGATCCATAGAGCAAGTGCTGTTAGGTAAAGACAATTGAAGACAATGAAAAGACCATTTATTTTAGCCAATGCAGCGTACATTTCCTCCATTTGTAAGAATGAAAAAGTCCTGCTGGCCACGTGTACATGTACCCTTCTGTAGAGAATTGAGATACCCCATCAGCATTCAAATGGAGTGCAAGCTCGATGAAAGAGCAGGTTTGATATGAAGCATGAAATTTGCAAGCACTGTCAATTGGAAAGCCTGTATTACAATAGGAATAAAAAGTCCCAAAATGTAGTCTAAAAGAAACTTCAATGTGTGTGTGATAATATCAAATGTTCATTGTGGTTGTCATATGTTTGTGTGTTCCAGAGTGTTGTGTGTTATGTTAAAGCAGCATTCCCTCACATACTGGAGCTACTCAACACCCAATTCAGATATGCCAAGGACTCGGACAATTACCGTTATACTAATTCACTGAAGAACTTGATCTACAACATTTACTCCCAGAGATGCATCCCTCCAATCAATGAGGAGATTGAGGTAAGTCCATCTATATTCTCTTTGAGAGCAGTGGTGCCTAAAATTGTCTATTAGTTATAAATATTATGGAAGAAGATTTTTGTCTTTTACTTCTTTGTTTTAATAGCAGAAATAATCCCACGTCTTTTCATTGACAAATAACAAAACATCAGGCAGCTTTATTTAAGAAACGAGCTAGAGCAAACATTAGGCATTGTGTTGTATGTACAGTACATACATTTGAGATGTATAAAGTTTCAAGAGGAAAAAGTCAAGAAACCAAAGGTCTTGGGCAGTAGCTAGTGGTTTTGGTAGCAGTGGTCAATGGTTTTTATTCAAATAGATTTTCTTGCATTAGTGTTGGATTGTTTTGTTCAAATGTTTTATTAAATGTTTAATTCTGGCCAATTTTTGGAAAAAAGGAATTCAGAGTTATGATTATTTTGTTATTTTAACCACTGCCAACATGAAGTTAATTGGACCACGTGCTTAAAATGTAATCTGTATCAGCCACATAAATGTTTTCTACTACAGTATGTCTTAAAAAAAAAGTCCAGAGGAAACCTTTCCAGTTGCAGTCCTAATTAAATCACAGATAAATGCCATGGTGCATCATATGTCTTTGTCTACTCTATTTTTAAAACAAAGTCAGACAGTTTGTTGTCTTTGGCAGGATGCACACAGGGAAAACCAGTGTATATCATATAGCAACTTTTATATATCCTGGAATGTTTCCCAAAATCATAAAATTGATTTGACCTCAAAAGGCAATGGATATGTTATTAAATGGAATGAAAATATTTGCATTAAAATAACTGTACAATGACCCGTGTAGCCTACCACCTGCTTTCCCAGTTGTTAGGGTTCAGCCTAATTCTTCTGGGAAAAAAACATGTTTTACACCCTACAGGATAGCCCAAAGAAGTTCATAAGAACCCACATGACTTTGCCCAGGGCAGCTTTGGAGAAAGCTGAGGAAGTGATTCGCATGTATATGGGTCTGATGATTCAGAGCAACAAGCCTGTGGTCTGGAACTGTGAGGAGGAGTACACAGAAGATTACCCAGAATCCACCACTGAACCTCTCAGCCAAACAGCAGGTAGCACAGCAATCATCTGAAATGACACGCTCGTTCTCATTGTGAGAGCTTTTATGCAACAGTAAGCACGAATTTAAAGAACAAGTTTGCCCATTTTAACTAGCTTTGTATTGTAACAATGTTGGTAGTAAAATTTAACAATGTTCTAGCCAAATGGAACCCCTTATAGGCCCTTTTCTCTAATTTCTAAAAAAAAAAAAGAATGCATTTCTACTGCAGACAGACAAGTTTTATTAAAAGCCCAACTTGTTAGCAGTGAATAACCCCTTTAAACCAGAGTAACTGACATTTTAGACACAATATTGCCAGTTACTTTTTTGCACTGCTTGTGAAAACAGTTGTAATGAAGCTGAAGTACTGTAGAATCATTGAGCACTTCCGAGCAACACACCATAGTGGTGTTTCATTCCACTATTTCATTCATGTTTAGTGGTCAGCAAATGATCCAAAAATGATTCATAAACAATCACTTGTTTCATTTTTTAATGAATCAGTGTTTTTGATCGAATTCAAGCACAAAATGACTCAAGACACTTTTTGCCACCTACTGGTGTAACAACATAACCGACAGAAAGAGTCACAAATACCCATCAGTAAGTTTATCTGGAACACACAACACAGACAATCAGTGTAATTCGTTAAAAGGGGGGAAAGAAACTGAAATGGGGCAAAAAAAGGCTCTCAAAATGAATCTCATTAGCAAAAGATTAGCAAAGTACCAGCTTATCTTGCTTTAGTTGTGTTTTTATAAAAAATGTCCATTACATTTCCTCTAGGTGCCTCCGATTGCCCCTGCATTTGTCCAGCGGTGAGCATTAGACCAACTAAGTCATCTGCATCCACAAGCCATTGGAATATTTACCCGAAATCTACTCAATCCCCACAAAGATCAACCTTTTCACAAACCTTGAAAGGTGGTAATGAAAGAACTAAACAATCCAAGTCTGCTGTCCCAATAACCAAACACCAAACACTAGATCTAGGAACATCTGCCACATGGAGATCAACACAAGAACATTTATCCAACTTCCTCTTTGGTAGTACTCCAGCTTTTCATGAAGAAACTTCAAATTCAGAAACGGACCATGTGCCATCACCAGATCTTTTCCCTTCATTTACAAATTTTCAGGATGTATTTCCAAACAGAACTGACTCAAGTGTTGAGACAACCACCTCTGGCCCCTATCAAAAAAGCACAAGCGATAGCACGCAGGACGATGTGGAGAAGAGCACGCCGCTTTTACTTGCCAAAAGGTCTTTAGATTCCAAAAGCCAAGAAGGACCATCCAGTTCCCTTGTAAAATTATCCCAGAACTCAGTTACTACAACATCTCAACCAGCATACAAAGATATAAAGAGCACAAAGATAAAAAACAAGCCTTCCCAAATGCTTCAACTGAGTAAACACATTGCACCAGTCACAACCACACTTCTGTCTTCTTTGAAAGCAGCTGCGCATTCATCAGAAGGCCTGAGCGCCCTTGTTGAACAGCCAGGTCATTTACACAGCCCTCCTGAAAATTTCCAAACACACACCCAAAGTCCGGTGAGGATGCCAAGGAATTTCATGAGAACCATCCATAAGGCGAAGCTCAGCAAAGGTGAGGAAGTCAGATAGTAGCAGTGCTATTGTAATATTATTTATGCACTATTTTATTTTTTATTCATATTTTGCTATTTATATTTTCCATTTTCTTTTTTATTTTAGTAATATCATTGTGTGACTTCGTCATTTTTTAAATATCACTATATTAAATGCTTTTCATCTAATATTTATATTTTATTTAAATGTAGTAGACATCAAACGTGAATGCATTCAAGGTCGCTTCAGTCATGTATTATTAATTCTGTGATGATTCACCAAAGATGCCTTTGGTTTTCAAAGACAGCAGATCCCAGGAGGATAGGCAGGAGATGAAGGACCAAACTCATCCAGACAGAGAAACACAGAGGAACCCTGCCACAGAACAATCCAGCAGTACAATCATCTCTTTTGGCACCGTGCTCATTATTACATCAGGGTGTGGTGGACTTCTGCTCATTACTGTCCTGTTTTACAGACAGCAAAAAGTAAGTGACTCACAAGTCATTTTTGCTCTGCTGAGAAGACCCGCTTAGAATGACATCTAGGTCAGTGCTGTTCTGGAGAGAAACATGCTGTGACCAGTAGCCAAAACATATGCTTGTTACTAGCTCTGGTGGTCTTTTCAGCAGGATGTCCCAAGTGATCTCGTTCAAACAGAAAAATCAACATTCTTTGATGTTTCCAATATGAGTTGATGGAGTTCATTATTTATTCCAAACAAACAATAAATTGGGAGACAAAATATCAGCAGGTTGCTTTTTCTCATTCTGTATATGGAATTATAATACATTTTAAAAGACATCTTTTGTTGCTCAAAAGGTGTCTACAACTAGGATATAGCACTAGAACAGGAAATTACTTGATCTGGCAGATGGTCCATTGGAAAATATGACAATATTTTAAGCATTCTCGCACAAACTAGATGTGACACATTCATCTTCTCTTTGTACATTTTGACTTGGCAAACTGACCATGAAATGTTGAACGGAAAATATCAATAATTCTTTAAAAAAAAAGAGAAGAGAGTTCATTTTTCTTTCATGTCGGTTTAAGATTGTTCTCATATTCAAACACAAATATATATGGAGTGTAAATAAATCAATGAATATATACTGTATATACAGGGCAGGTGGAATGAAGCCACATTCTAAGTGCCATCTTTATGTCAGAAGCAAATAATTAATCGAATGTTTTGCTTGGCTCATATTGTTAAAAGGAATCTAATAACAATATATTTAGTTCCGTACCGATAAACAAATGAGTAAAACAGATGGGTGCTTTGTGGAATGCTTAAGAACAGTCAACCTGAACAATGTGTTTGTCATTAAAACTATCCATTTACAATAAAACAATCTCATGTTAGTTGGTTTCAGTTTTTTTCATTTCACGTCACTGTCTTGACTCAGATGTGTGTCATTTTCTTGCTTTCAAGTCACATGCTGTTTCTCTCCTCTAACATATGACTTTAATAAAATAAAAAATGTCAGGGCAGAAGTGTGTGCAAATAATTAGTTTGAGAAAAGAAAAGAAAAGAAAAGAAAAGAAAAGAAAAGAAAAATACTGTTGTTATTTACACACCCTCGTTTTTCCAAATCGTATACCATTGTAAGGACCAGTTTAATAATAGTTTCATGGTGCTTTCACATCCACATGTGGCCTAATTTTGTGAAAAATAGCAACTGGGACAAGTTTTCCTTTTGTGCTTCACAGAAGAAACGAAGTCATATGTGTTTTGAACAACATGAGGGTGAGTAAATGAAGACAAACTTTCATTTTTGGGTGAACAATCCCTTTAAAAACACTTTTAGGCAATAAGGCATTTAAATGACGTGTCATGCTGGGACTGAAAACTGTAAAGGTCGACACTTGCTATTTGAAGTTTTTACGTGACTAGTAGCGTGTCTGTCAGTGAGACATCAGTTTGACATTACTATACAAATGAGTAAGTGGTGTTTAAACTGAAATCCACCATAAGGCAATATAAGTTTATTGGTGTAAGTTTTCAGTGGTTAAACTTTCATTGAACAAAAAAAATTAAACACATTCCAGGGTTTTTTTATTTATTTGATCATTAAGCGATTGTGATACTGTTTACATACTGAAGCCTTCAACATCAAACGGAGCTATTAAGACATTTTGATGACTTACAACATTTGATATATATCACTGTTCTTTGTTTTTCCCTTTCTATCATTGGTTATTTAAGTTTTACAACCTAATTCGATTACACTGGCTTATTAGCAATGAATTGATAACCACTAACTAAACTTCTTTGTGCAAAGCTTTGGAAGTTGAATTTAAAGCAGTCTCTGTGCAGTACCTGAAAGGAGCGCCGCAAAACACAACTCATTTTGTAATGAATTCAATTCAAATGCTAACTCAAAATAGAAGCGTTTCTTGGAACTTGGATGTCTCCTCTAATTATTTAAACATCTGTGTCTTATCAGAATAAAGAGGGTGACTTTTATAGTTCTTTTGGGTTATTTTCAGAGTCTGCGGTGATCAGATATTGCAGTGTGTGGTTAGGATTGGCCTTAAAATTAGAAGGATGATATAACATTGAATTGGTTTCGCTGTGCTCTTGGCATTGGCTCATGTAGAAATGTGCAACAAATAACATCACAGCTTAACACAAAGTTCACATACTAACAGACTCTTCAAAGTGTTTACTACGTCACTATATAGTAACACATAGAGAGCTGCTGATACCACCAAGTGGTGGGACACTGGCAATGCAAGTTGATGGGATTCACCATAATATATGTGATCTCATAGAAAGTCAATATTGCCATTTTGATGTGACATAAATATCAAATATTAAATGTGGGGGTACTGGGATACATCTGGGATAAGTTATATTTTAAAATGATCCTTTTATAACAATGTTACTGAGAGATTTTGCATTACATCATGTGAGTTTTTAATGGTTTCCCTCGGGCCCTAAATGAAAAATTATGCTTGGTGGTGGAAACGCATAAAGTGTCAATGTTGAAAAGGGGCATGTTTGTTATCACAGTACAGCATTTGATGACTGCACATTTAGAGTAGTTATTTATTGCTGTTAGACTTTCACAGATGCATGTCTGGTTCCTTCCTGTCAGGATGTGGTGTTTTATGATCCGAAAAATGCACTAAAATGCACGCCTGAAAATGCATTGGGGAAAAAAAATGCATCCCATTCCTTGTGTTTATGGGAACATTGTTTAAAATTGTATGTTTTTATTTGGAAAATATCAGTATTTTTAATTGAATCTTCTTAAAGAATATTAAATGGAAAATTCACCTAATTATTTACTGACCCTCATGTTGTTCCAAACTTGCATGACTTAACTTAAATTAAGATTTTTATATATCTTTGTCTATACAATGAAATGTTATTTTGGACCCCACTGACATTTTAATTGTATGGGCGAAAACATTCTTCCACATTTTTTTTGTTCCACAGAAGAAGGAAACAACGTGAGGTTGAGTAAATGATGACATAATTTTCATTTCTGAGTGACTGATCCTTTTAAGCCCATTTTAATGAAGCTACTAATTACATCTTTTACTTCTCTGCCTTAGTAAAGACAACCTTGGAGTAATTCAGAGCAGAATCATCGCTGCTCAAACTTGTCGTACCGTCATCACAGCTCACTTGGCCTTTCCTTTTCACCTTTTTCTGTTGGGACTCTTTAACATTCACATAGTCTGTATCCATTTTTTTAAAGTCCACTAGTCCAAGGGAAGCAGTTTCTGAAACATTTATGTAGTCAGAAGTCTTTCGACGGTCTTCAAGGCTTACGTATCGTTGAGAGCTAGTGGAAAGATCTGACAGCTGACATCCAGAAACACACAAAAACAAAACATGGCAATAAAGAATTGTAACATTCTTTAAATGGTGTGTAACTCATCTGGAATACGTAATGATGGCTTTCAGATGTGTGAAGAAGTTGTTAATGGTTTTCAAATGACTTACCGAGCCTTCAGGGGTCCCAGAACTAGTAGAGGATGAATTATCTGCACCTAATCGTTGACAAGGCAAAAGTTTAGTGTGAAAACCTCAGTGGACGAACATTAGGACTTATTGCAAAATGTGTGTTTTTACCATCACCTGAAGTAGGGGAGACACTTAATGCATTGTTCTGACACAAAGCAGTTGATTCTCTCGTGTCGCTGGTTGTGTGGATAGTGTCTCTTTTAATGGCTAAGTTCAAACAACAAGAACAACAAAAAATTATCACACACATACCAAAGCTACATCATAATACTATAAGAAGCACTTGTCATTTACTATTATAATAAGGAATAAATAAGCAATTAAACATAGCACTGTAGTGCACTCACCACTTTGCATCGAGATGAACATTTTAAACAGAATTATCAGGAGAATAAGAATTACGGCAGCGAGGAAACAGATGATGGCGTACATCAACGGATGAAGATATTCACTAAAACAATGCAGAAATAAATGTTGATATCTGGAATCATCACAAGATTTAATTACGTAGTGAGGAGAAGAACAGTTTTAAGACATTACAACCAACTTGATCACTTCTCACGGAAGAAAATACAAATACTATACAACTCAAAGGCTGAAAGTAAAAAGATTTTAAATGGGTTATATTGTAAATCTACCAAATACTTGTTGCATAGTTCACTCACAGAATTAGATATGATAAATTCAAGTGATATTTCAGTTAAAAAAGAATAATAATACATTGAGAATTATAGAATTACCAAGCTGGGTTTGCTGCATTTTTATTGTTATCTGAAAAAAAAATAAAAAAATAAAAAAATAATTAATTTGCATTAAAACAAACTGATACAGGTGATCATCTATACAATGTGTGCTTTTTTCTATATTCAGTTTCAATATTCCATATTAATTTCCAAAAACCATGTAACTATGTAGTTACAAATTCCATGTCAAATTAATTTCACGCATCATTTACATCAATATCTTGTATAGTATTTGTTCATAATAAATCATTCTGTATCAGAATGATTTATTATGATATATTATGATATATTTTTCCACTCTTGATGCTTTTTTGTTTCATATCTGTGTTTGCCTCAATAAATAAACATCTAATTTATCGGTCTTATTATATTTCAACTTACAAAAATTGGTTAACTGTTGTTATATAAAACTAACCGTTTTTAATCATTTAAAATTAATTTTGTATTTTACACACTGCACATTTTCTTTAAGAATATTATTTTAAAACCTTAATCTTACATTTTATTATTATTATGATATCTTTTTATATCTATTTAAACTATATAGTCCACATTTCTGGTTTTGAACAATCATCATAATGTATTTCAAAGCAAAAAATCAAATCAAATCTATGCCACGTGTCTTACCTGCCAGCACATTGAAGAGAAACATACAAAGAGTAATAATTAACAAAGGGTGTATAATCCACATGATGCCTTCAGAAACTCTCACAAATTAGTTCGATTTTCAAATTCCTTCTTATAATGATCTTTAATATTTTTATCAAAGTGTTGATCAAGTCTCCCCTTAAAAGCACAACCACGGAAATGCTCGGTGATTATCTAGAGTCAGTGGAAAGTTGTGGTTGAACGTCACCAGTCTTAAATAAGGTATAAGCCTGAAGATACAGCACTTAAGTATCCTGCTTTTGAAAGCGATGTTCTGAATGTTAAATGAAATTTATTTATTTTTTTAATCAATTTTAAAACACAGAAGAATCTGTAATCTGTAAAATCATACAGTTTTATTTTTTGATTGCGAATAGTTCATTTTTGTTGTAAGTGCAAGAGTTTACCATGCTAAAAGGTCAATAAGCCTGAGAACAAGATTATTTTTTAAACGTTAGGTTTGTCATCAGCAAGTGTGAACAGGAAGTACACAACCACGAAGAAAAAAAAAGACTCTGATTCAATCATATTAAATAACATTTTTTCACCTTCTGTTATCTAATAAAGTCTTTTTATTCAGGTTTGTCAAATGACAAAACATTTTTATTAATTACTAGCTAAATGTGTCTTCACAGTTATCATTACAGCATTTTGCTAAAGTTTATGAACTATTCCACTAATGGCATGCCTGCCGATCAATCCCACAGTACATCAACATGAGTACATCAAAATGATTAAATTATCACAAAGAATACATGAAAAGATCCATATAAAACCTCAAAGAACAATATGCAGAATTTAAAAAAGACCCAGTGGACCTCACTTCACGGGTATCTTCTGTTTGAACCCTGCAAGCATGTTCTGTTCTCTCTTCCCATAGCGGAGGCCGAAGGAATTGAGATTGTAGTACGCGACATTCTGCCTCCTTTTTGTGTAAGGCCTTTCTGGAGACCACCACCATGTGTTTCTCTGAGGACCTGCACCCATGGAGAAAAGCATTGGGAGCTTTGGAGAAGGAGATACAGCTGCGGGACGAGTGTCAGTTCCCCTGAGATCTCGGAGTGATGTTTCCTCAGGAGTTTCATCTAGAAATACAACAAAAGCTCAAGAGATATAGCCTATAGACAAAGGCCTACAAGTGAAACTATGCTTTACAGTTATTGCAGGCTTATGATATATATTATATTGTCACTTTTTAAACAACACTAAACTTTACAGTGCATCCAGAATCTTAAATATCTATTTGCCTTTAGACTATTATGTAATAACACTGTTTGATATTAACTGTATTGATCCTGTCTTTGTTAGAAGTTAAGACAACACTGAACTTACCTTCTAAATAGTACTGCAAATGCCCTGAAGGGTATGTGTCACCATTCGCCACTGACAACATCAAAATGATGGTAAGTAGCATCATTTTTAATGCGTTTTATACCAAAAATATGTTTCTGTAAGAAAACAATTAGCAATTAGAAACCAATACACGTGTTTTGTTTTTCTGAATCATGGGTACTTTTTATGAGATCCCACTTTCTTATGACATTTGTGTATCTTTTCATACTCAATTCATGAGCTCAAACACACACATATAGATACAGACTCTAACACACACAGACACACACTTCAAAGAGAAGTGTGCATCAGAAATCAGCCTTTCACATCTGCTCCTATGCTATGCTGTTCATAGGTGTAAAAAATGAAATACAAAAATATAAAATTGAATAATAATAAAAATAACACAATAATATTATAATACAAATATTTTATAATAAAATGATTATTTAATCAAAAATATGCATTTATAATATATTTATAATGACAGGTTTTAGAACAAAATATAACAAAATTCATATCTTGTACTTTGTAACCAAAATGCTACTGTTCTATGTAAGAAACAATAATAATAATATAGCAACATAAAAGGTAATTAAGAACAACTGAAAGGCTGCCGAAATTGGCAGAATCAAAATGTGCATTTATCTATTGCATGAAGGGAAAAAAACTCTAGAGGACTTGGATCAGATTCAGATCCTCTTGGTTTTTACATCAATGCACTGTAAATCGCTTCGATAAATTATCTGTCAAATGCACAAATGTAAATATGCCATTCAAACCCTCCACACCCTCCAAACCCTAACGACCATCACAGAGAATGCATATATATATACACACACACACACATACATGCATATATACACTTACACATACACTGACAATTATTCAAATGAGCATGGCAATGGGAGTAAATGGCTTACCTTTACACTTGCTGGTATGGAGGTTGTGTTTGGTTTATGCAACCTTCAGACACAATTTATCTTTCTCATACAACAACATTGTCTGCGTCATAGCCTCCTCAGTGGGTCGCAGACCTCCACAACCCTTCCCTCTTTCCCTCTGATCTTGTCTTTTTTCCCCGGGGTGGGTCCACCACCCATCCCTTTCACAGGAACATTCTGGAAGCACAAAGCCTTTATATATTTGAACTCAATATCATTTTCTATTTGAGGGTAGTTCATTGAAGTTGGGGGGAGCAGACAGATGAAATAGAAATTAGATGATTGTAAAAGCACTGCTCTAAAATGTATATTCATAACTCGAAGGGCTGAGGGCACATCAACAAGCTTTTAGAGATCACTGGACATTTTATTTTTGCTTGTGTTCACGACGAGAGAGAAATCTACCTACGTGCGTCTTGTGCACTTCAAATCCTGATTTTTTAATTTTTTTAATTCATTTTTTCCTTTTTTTTTTTAAAGATATGTATTTAAAATAAATGAACACAAAAATATTCTTGAGTAGAACACTGGGCATGTTTGGTGAGTTTATTTAACATATTATAAAGGTTAAGTGTAAATAGGCTAAACTATTAAAAATAAAATAAACGGACAACTATCCATCATATACATAAAAAACAACAGCTAAAATTTGAACAGTTCACTGCAAAAGCACCTCCAGATTTCCAGCATCTGCTCTTACACCATTGAGGAACTACTTCCAGATAACTTGTTTTAAATCTGAGAGAGAGAGAGAATATAAACATCAGAGAACATTTAGAACCGCTGCTTGAGTGTTTAACTGCACAGGTTGCACTTAAATTTAATTGGTAGTTAGATTTATGAAAGTTTTGTTCCAAGCATTGTAAAAGTTAAAAAAGGAATGTTTAAGGCTGTTGCGAGAAATCCAAAAGCCATTGGAAAGAATGACCTACAAACAATACAGAATCTTGTTATTTGCTAGTTTAGGAGAGGAACAATCTAAAAACAATGCCAATTCAAGCAGAGAAAAAAGCATGTATAGGGTAATGAATAGTAAAATAAAGGTTCCACAATTAGTTAGGTAAAATGCATCTTGGTTGGTTTGAAGTAGGAACATCTTGGAGGCGTCTACCTTGCTCCATTAGGACAGGAAATGACTCAACTATGTACTTACTTAAATAGAAGCACAAAGCCATAGGTCTCCACTAGCATGCCAATAAGAGGCCATCTTAGTAGAACTAAAGCCACACCTCCTAGAAAGAAGGCAGAGCTTCTGAGCTTCTGTCTCTGGAAAAAGAAGTGGGCCGTCCTCCTCAAGCCAATGATGAAGGCCAAACCAGACAGAAACAGAATCTGATAGCAGAGGAAAACATTTTTGGAAAATACATAATATATGCGTACACACACTACCGTTCAAAAGGGTTTTTTTTAAGTTTGAAGAAAAAAAAGAAAAAAGAAAAAAAAAAAGTATGCTCACCAAGGCTGCACAAAGTACAGTAGTATTTCAAACAGCACAAAGAACATGCCGAATCCTGACAGACCCACACCGATTTCTAGAATCCAAGTCACAATAGATTACAGCTGTATTCTTAGTTAGTCAATAAAGCAGATATGTTCGTAGTCATTTAAAAAAAATCTTCTAAACACTGCAAACCAAAACGTGTCTAAAATACAGGCCAGTCTTCATATACTGATTTACATCGTTTTAATTTAATGGAGCAATAACAATTTACATTAAGTGTGAAAATGAACATAGCAGTGTCTCTAAGTTGAGTTGTAACTGTACAGAACTGTGACATATACAGTGCTTGTATATTCAAGGGAAAGAAAGACACTCACTCTGAAACACTGTGATTGTGATCATGGTTTTTGCTCTGTTGTATCTCTTGGCTCAGATCTCCCAGTTTCAGTTCCTCGGTTTTTACTGGTTTGTATCTTTCACACAAATGCTTAACTTTTGAACCCTATACCGTAGGGTGAACATTAACCAAACCTATTAGACTGATGAGAGAGAACGTTCTGCCTGATGATCACTTTATCTCATCTACACTTACAGTCACAGTCACAACACAGTCCACTCACTCATCCACAGAAGCATGTGTCCACTCACTCCTCTGCCCTCATTTCCTTACCTCACATCCCACAGCTGACAGCTTGCCACCCTAAACAACACCCTTTCACAACTTGTTAATATCCCTCTGCCCTTTAATCACCTTAATGTAATATGCATTATTAGCATGACAAATAATTGTAAACCTGCAAAACAGCACACAAAATAAAAATAAAAAAAAGTTTACAATTTTGGTGACTTGATAAACAAAATTATTATATGGCTTGTTGGAATACTTGGTCCTGATTGGTCAAGAGCAGCATTCTAGGAAAGCTTGCTCCCATCACAGAATAAAAAAAATAATAATAATAAATAAAAAAAGATAATTTCGACTTTTTTTTCTCCCAATTGTAAGTTTATATCTCACAATTCAGACCTTATTCTCAGAATTGAGAGTTTATATGTTGCAATTGTAATTGCAACTTAGAATTACAAATTTGTAATTGCAAGTTTATAACTTACATCTCACAATTCTTACTTTTTTACCCTCAGTTTACATTCTGAAAATCTGACTTTTTTCCTCAAAATTCTACATTTAAATCCCACAATTCTGTTCTGCCACTCTCTCTCTTACAATTCTGACTTTTTTCTCTTTGTTTAGAATTTACATCTTGCATTCTTTTTTTGTTGTTGTTGTGACTTTTGATCTCACAATTCAGATTTTGTATTTGTAATTTATCTTCTTAGAATTGCGAGTTATAAACTCACAATTCCTGAGTTAATGTCTTACAATTCTAAGTTTAGAATGCTTTTTTTTCTTTCACAATGCTTCCACAGCATTCAGAGGTCAAATATTTTACTAATATTCTCTTTTGCCCATGGCAATGCCGTATATCAGTCTGAAACCAAAGCTGCCTTCATTTTGTATCACACCACAGATTCACTCTCTTTTATTCATGCAAACACAACTGCTGCCATCTTGTGTCTCTGTTATCAAGTGTAGAGAATCTTGAAGGACTTATGTAATTATACTGTAATTATTGCGGTGTTATAAATATACAAATAAAAAAATAATTTTAACTAAAATCAATTTATGTCCACAAATGTATTTATTTGATGAAGAGACCTTAAAGGCAGGGTATGTGATTTTTCAAAAACACTTTAGAAAACTGATTCGGGCCGAATAGCAAAACAAACTTGTAGCCAATCAGCAATAAGGGGCGTGTCTACTCGTGATGTGGAGGAGAGAGCTTTCAGTGCATGATGTGCATATAATGTAGCTCACAGTCAGTACCAATACCAACTTTTTTTACCTCAACCACAACCCATTCCTCTCCTGCTGTCTATTAAAACAATCTCCAACAATCTCTTTATTTTCTATTACACAAATACCTTTTCACTCTATCCACTCATTCATCCTATCCGGCGTTTAACAAATGCAACAAAGTGAACTGTCTATATAAACAACCAACTCTTCTACACAACATAAAGTCTTAATACTTTCAATTAGAGTGTGTATCACAAACATACAGTGTTAGATATTTATTAGCACCATATTCCATACTGCTGACACATTTTCTTGGCTTTCACTTTGTGCTTGTGTTGTTATTGTCAAAACACACCGAATTTATAATCGCTTTCCAGTAAAGTCTCATCCCCAAATTAAACACAAATGTAAAATAAATAAAGCAAATATTCAACACAAAGCTTGATTTTTTTTTAGAAGAAACATTACAAATGGCCCAGTAACAATTGTGGTCATAAATACGCGGTTGGGATTTCTGTGAAAACGTGTTGGAATGTTGAATTGACTGACTTCTGGCTCAACACTATGGGTTTGATTGTGGCTTATTCCATTTCCAACTGCCAAAACAAGATTAAGGCGTCAAACTTTTGTAATAAATAGGCTTAATTTTGCTGTAATTAATTTAGTTTACCTCACAAGCTGCTGAAAAGAGCTTCTGTTGTAACTTATCTTGCAATACAGAGTAACCTTGTCTACCTCTGGGATTTGCATATTTGCAATGACATGTGAAAGAAAACTTTGGCTGTTCTCTGTTTAAGGTTGAAAAATAATGCTTTTTGGACCCTGCAAGTAACACATTAATAACATTTGCATTATAGATATTTTTTCTTGTTTATCATTCACAGTAGACTCACATGAAATGAGTGAACAGTGTCGGAATACAATTATGAATGTACAAACTACTGAAGAAAAGTGATACGAACAAATGAAGAGTTTTAATTACAAAAGAAGGTTTTAAATACATTCACTTTATTGCATGAGGGTACTTCTAAAGCAAGCACATTAAGTATTATTTTGTTTGATTTGCATAGCTCAAGCAGTCTCATTTTTTCCCTTAAAATAGCATTAGTTACGGTAAATATGAAGACATACAGTGTTTTGATTTAAAAATATTTACACAGACCAATGTGCTTATTTTGACTTACTGTAGTTAATCCCACTTTATATGCTACATGTTTATTTTATTTTTTATCAAATATTAGACATCTCTTGCTTTGACTGTCCAACTGCAACTTTGACCATTTTGTCCAATTAGTACAAAACACTTAATGTGAATTTTAAACAAGGCCTTCAAAAGAATGCTGCAAAGTTTCGGTCAATAAATTAAAAATATATCAGCCTCGATCAGTATCTCCATAATATATATCAGATCAAAACTCTCTTTAATCATTTTACAAATGTAACCAATCAAACCTCATTTTATACATAGAAAAATATGCAATGCATTGATATTGTTTTTCTCTTTCTGAAAAATGATAAAAATAGATCTCTGTCTTTCCCTTCAGGGCTGTTTTTGCTTAAAAGTGATGATGGCTAATCTGCTTCTGTGGGGCGTTATTCATTTTTCCAGATCTCATACTGTGTTTTAGCTAGATTCAGGGGTACAACATGATTTCCGTGACTTTTCTCGACCGAAGAGTTCCGTCAAACAAATTCTAACAAAACAGATCATACACAAGCTGAGGCCAGTGTTTAGTCAAGAGTTAGACTAATTTCACGTTAAAAAAAGACAAGCAGAAAGCACAGTATGGGCTAACAACTTACAAAACAGGAGATTTATATGGTTTGGCAAATTGTTCTTTACTTTACGATACATTATAATCAAGCTGCTTGATTACAGAGGTAATTACCAGTGATAGAAAAATAATCCAAAATATTGTTCCATTTAATTCCATGTCAATCTATATTTACACAAAAACCGTGCCACAGCAGAAAAGAAACAGCCAAATGAATCTCCAAATGGCACAACGATCCACAAATAAGGGCTTTGATATTCTGTTGGGGCAACAGGTTACATAATTTACCGTCAGTATATACGGGCTGTAATGCAAGTTGCTGGCCTCGCATGAACACGCATTGTTTCAACAAGCAGACTTACAACTCTAAGGACACTTCCAATGGTTCGGCTTTCTCTTCTCATTAATCTACCACACACGCTCACAAGTATTTAGGTACCATTATTTGGTAACTACTGTCCTAGCAGTAAAAGCACTATGATGAGTCCACATGGCTTTGATGCAAAGATTAGAGTAATAGTCATATCAATATATATGCTTTCTTTACAGATACACACGATACTTAAAGGCCTGACAATGGTTTGAGAGACTGCAACATTGACGGGAGAGGGTTCTCAAGCCCTATTGTGAAACTGGAGAGGATTGTGGGAAAAGAGGAGGCCAGGAGGAGTCACAGTGAGTCTGGCCTTAAAGATGATGGAGGGGAAGTGCCCAATGCCAACATCCTTTGGATCAAGACAACAACGGGTTCATCAACAGTCTACGATTGTTCCAGATTCCTACGGAGTTCCGTTCGTAAATCCTCAGGGGTCGATTGCGGCTTGTGTTCTGAACACAGCTAATTATCATACCAGCGGTTCCGAATCTTTCTTTCTGATGACTTACAGATAAACTGAGCTTTGACAACTTTGCTGCAGTCCTTGGTCTGGTTTTTTCAACTTCCTCAAGCATGGCTATTTTCCTCTGGTCGCATCTCGATCTCCGTCACGCTCTTTCCAGTCACAAACGTGCTTGTGTCTGCAGAATCCGCCCTGAGCAGCTGTACCCAGCATTTGTAGTATGAATCTGCTGTATGTACTCCAGTCAGTAATGTGACCGAGAGTAGATATGAATCTGTAAACATCGTCCACTTCCTGGCTAGTTTGTAGCTTTTGTAATATGACTGCCATCCTCCGAAACCAAGTCAAAAGCAATGATAAATTGAATTACGTAGTTCTGCCGTGGGTTACACACTCCGAATGAGGATTGTGAGGAGATGTGGAGGCAGATAACCTCGCTCGTGAACAGCCCTCTGCAAACATCCAAACATTTTGAAATATTTCTCTGCATGGCGTTGTGTAAGTAATCGAAAGAAATACAATGTTTGGCAGAGGCAAAACCTATGTTCTTGGTGTTCAGTGGGGTTTTTTCCCCGTCTTTTCTTTGTCTGCTGGACACTCAGAAGGGTTCATCGTCAAATTTGACAGCTGCAAGAGCTTGAGCTGGGAAAATGGGAGAAGAAGAGAGAGAACAAAGAGAAGATGAGAACAAATGTATCGTCAGAGACTGTCGCATTTCTTCTGTTCAAAGAACTTCAGCTGAACGTTTTTCACACACAAAACATTATTATAAGGTCCACGCTATACAAGAATGTGAATGCATCTAGAAATGCTTAAAGGGATAGTTCACCCAAAAATGAAAGTTCTGTCATTAATTACTCACCCTCATGTCGTTCCAAAACCGTAAACTTTTTTTCATCTTCAGAACACAAATTAAGATAATTTTGATGAAATCCGAGAGCTTTCTGACCCTGCATAGACAGCAATGGAACAACCACGTTCAAGGCCCCAAAGGTAGTAAGGACAATATGGACAATATATTGTTAATATAGTCCATGTGACATCAGTGGTTCAACCTTAATTTTATGAAGCTACGAGAATACTTTTTGTGTGCGAAGAAAACAAAAATAACAACTTTATTCAACAATTTTTCTCTTCTATGTCAGTCTTCGACACACGTTCACAAGAGCACCACGACGCATGTGTGCGTCTTCTTCTGCTTGTAAACAAGGTGCAACACATCTGGGTTCTACGTCAGAACGCCGGCTCCTGTGTCAGCAGCACCACACACATGCGTCATGGTACTATAAGAAGAAATTGTTGAATAAAGTTATTTTTGTTTTCTTTGTGCTCAAAAAGTATTCTCGTAGCTCCATAAAATCATGGTTGAACCTCTGATGTCACATGGACTATTTTAACGATGTCCTTATTTCCTTTCTGGGCCTTGAAGGTGTCAGTTGTGTTGCTGTCTATGCAGGGTCAGAAAGCTCTCGGATTTCATAAAAATATCTTCATTTGTGTTCTGAAGATGAACGAAGGTCTTAGGTTTGGAACGACATGAGGGTGAGTAGTTAATGACAGAATCTTCAAAAATGTCACCATTTACTTATGACATGTCGTTCCAAACTTATATGAATTACTTTCTTCTGTGGAACACAAAAAAGATTTTTTTAAAGATTTCAACTCTTTTAGTCCAAATTAAGTGAGTGAACGTGTCTGAAACAATATTGAACCCGACAGACTTTCATTATTGATAATTTTGTAATCCACAGAAGAAAGTCATATAGGGTCAGAGTGTCAAGAGGGTGAGTTATTGAATACAGCATGTTCATTTCTGGGTGAAGAAAATGCATAATGTATCAGACTGCAATTGATAATGCGAAATGTGCCACCATCAAGGTGACGCTTTATTAGACATGAGTGTGAATTATTTTCTTATATGGAACATTTTTCTGTCATAGAGAAGAAACAATTTGAAAAGAATGTCTCTGTCCCAGATGGCATTCTCAGTCATGTGGTCTGCACTTGGCCACACAGACTTCTGGGTAGTGGTGTGCTGGAAGGCCACATCAGTGTGGGTCTGGCAAAAGGGGGTATTGAGAATGCAAAGCATTCATAATTGCAAAGCATTCATAATTGCTACCTGCTTAAATATTTTAGAGCTTGAAATAACTAAAAAAAAAATGTATATTATAAAAATGCCCATGGAGTTATAGGATTTAATTAATTTACATGATAAAAAAGTTGTTTATGGTGTGAATTAAAATAATAAATATCTTCATTTTTAGTAGTTTTAAGTCATCTTGAAGCGCCCTTGGAAGTTTGCTGAGGCCCCCTAGTGGGCCCCAGACCCTTGGTTTAGAACTATCGAGTTACATTAAACACACCATTTGTGACAGGGCCTATATAGTTAAAGTTTACATGTTTATAAAAATAGCTACCTGAATAATACTATCTGGCTTAATGGCACACTTTATTACCCACATGAGTCTTTTGAACTCAAGAACTCAGAAAAACAGAAAAATGGTTGCGCTTTTGCAATGTGAATGGCTAAACATTTGCATCTGTGTTTGTATACTTGTGTCAAGTATGCTTCTGACCCAACAGTTAATAAGGTGAACAAATTTTACAACAGTTATTGCCAAAATAGATGCATCTGGTTTCTGTGTTAACATAGCAGGTTGAAATTGTCTTTAATGAACTGTTTATGACCCACAAGAGAAATTTAGTGTTTATGAAGGTCCACTGCGATACGATCAACATGATCCAAATGTGCAGTTTCTAACACCAGCATTGCCTTTTTAAAATTCTTGTCACATGGTTTTGATCATGGTTGACTATTTTTTGCCATGAGCTGATAGCAGATGTTGTTTATGTTTGTCTGTTTAGTCTCTTTGTTAAGACTTAATCATTGGAAATGATGCTAATTATACAGAATGAAAGCCAGTCGACACATTTGTAAGAGCTGTTTGTGGAATAGCCACAAATATGCAGTTATTTGAGATCAAGAATTTGAATTTTCGCTGCAATTTTTTCTCCATATCGGCATATTTTCTAGCAAAACAGGGTGGTGTAAAGGCCTCAATAATCTGTGTCATTTTATTTCTTGCTCTACAAAAAGTAAAAGAAAGCAAGGGCAGTAATGAGCAGGACTAGAAAGAGAGTTTGTGTGAGGAACAGGAAGTGAGAGGAAGGGGCGGGGATTGTTGTGCAGTGGGCGGGACTCACCTTCACACCTTCATGATGTGGGAGGAGTCAGAGTAGTCAGCAGAAGGGGGAGGGACCAGGCTGGTTGGGGAGGCAGGGGGACTGGGGACGCACTGGGCTGCAATGCAGTGAAATTATGGGGGGAAAAAATGTCAAAAGAAAACATATGCCATGAAGCAAATGAAATAGGAATTGTGGGACAGAGAGGTAGCTATATATACTGTCCTCTCACAGAGCCACAAGGCAAAATGAATCCTTGCTAATTTAATTTTTGACTATCAAAAATATGGAATGAAATGAAAGAAAACTATGAAGGAAAGTTCAATGCATGATTTTAAAATTAAAATTTTTTTTTTTGCATTTTGGTTGTCCATAAATGATGAATAAAAAATATATATACTGTATTTTTTTAAATCTCTCTATTTATACTGATGTTTGTCCTCTCTGCCTTTGTCAATTTATATATGTTCTGATGTTTAGTTATGATAACAAACCTGAATATATTCATAGTCATTAAACTGAGTAAAATCTCACTCTAGAGCAGTTCCCCAGTGAATCTAGATGGAACTAGACAGTGTGCTTCAGTACCGAGGTCACACATCTAGATATCTAAAAGCTTTATAAATGTGTTGTGAATTCTGAAACAGACTGTGATAATAAAAATAATTCATATAATCATTTATATTATCATTTTCTTCTGCAAAATAACAAATCTAACAGTTCAACTAAGTCAAAAAACAACTCTAATTAAAGTGCAACCTCAGCACTGAAGTGTGGTGAAGTGTGCATTTAGGACATTGAGGAGCATGTGACATTGATGAGGGTCAGACAGGTGGGGTCACAGCTCGCCCAGGCTCCTCAGCTTTGACAACTTTGCTGTAGTCCCTGGTCTGGTTTTTACAACTTCCTCAAGCATGGCTATTTTCCTCTGGTCGCATCTCGATCTCCGTCACGCTCTTTCCAGTCACAAACGTGCTTGTGTCTGCAGAATCCGCCCTGAGCAGCTGTACCCAGCATTTGTAGTATGAATCTGCTGTATGTACTCCAGTCAGTAATGTGACTGAGAGTAGATATGAATCTGTAAACATCGTCCACTCCTGGCTAGTTTGTAGCTTTTGTAATATGACTGCCATCCTCCGAAACCAAGTCAAAAGCAATGATAAATTGAATTACGTAGTTCTGCCGTGGGTTACACACTCCGAATGAGGATTGTGAGGAGATGTGGGGGCAGATAGCCTCGCTCGTGAACAGCCCTCTGCAGACATCCAAACATTTTGAAATATTTCTCTGCATGGCGTTGTGTAAGTAATCGAAAGAAATACAATGTTTGGCAGAGGCAAAACCTATGTTCTTGGTGTTCAGTGGGGTTTTTTCCCCGTCTTTTCTTTGTCTGCTGGACACTCAGAAGGGTTCATCGTCAAATTTGACAGCTGCAAGAGCTTGAGCTGGGAAAATGGGAGAAGAAGAGAGAGAACAAAGAGAAGAGGAGAACAAATGTATCGTCAGAGACTGTCGTATTTCTTCTGTTCAAAGAACTTCAGCTGAACGTTTTTCACACACAAAACATTATTATAAGGTCCACGCTATACAAGAATGTGAATGCATCTAGAAATGCTTAAAGGGATAGTTCACCCAAAAATGAAAGTTCTGTCATTAATTACTCACCCTCATGTCGTTCCAAACCCGTAAACTTTTGTTCATCTTCAGAACACAAATTAAGATAATTTTGATGAAATCCGAGAGCTTTCTGACCCTGCATAGACAGCAATGGAACAACCACGTTCAAGGCCCACAAAGGTAGTAAGGACAATATGGACAATATATTGTTAATATAGTCCATGTGACATCAGTGGTTCAACCTTAATTTTATGAAGCTACGAGAATACTTTTTGTGTGCGAAGAAAACAAAAATAACAACTTTATTCAACAATTTTTCTCTTCTATGTCAGTCTTCGACACACGTTCACAAGAGCACCACGACGCATGTGTGCGTCTTCTTCTGCTTGTAAACAAGGTGCAACACATCTGGGTTCTACGTCAGAACGCCGGCTCCTGTGTCAGCAGCACCACACACATGCGTCATGGTACTATAAGAAGAAATTGTTGAATAAAGTTATTTTTGTTTTCTTTGTGCTCAAAAAGTATTCTCGTAGCTCCATAAAATCATGGTTGAACCTCTGATGTCACATGGACTATTTTAACGATGTCCTTACTTCCTTTCTGGGCCTTGAAGGTGTCAGTTGTGTTGCTGTCTATGCAGGGTCAGAAAGCTCTCGGATTTCATAAAAATATCTTCATTTGTGTTCTGAAGATGAACGAAGGTCTTAGGTTTGGAACGACATGAGGGTGAGTAGTTAATGACAGAATCTTCAAAAATGTCACCATTTACTTATGACATGTCGTTCCAAACTTATATGAATTACTTTCTTCTGTGGAACACAAAAAAGATTTTTTTAAAGATTTCAACTCTTTTAGTCCAAATTAAGTGAGTGAACGTGTCTGAAACAATATTGAACCCGACAGACTTTCATTATTGATAATTTTGTAATCCACAGAAGAAAGTCATATAGGGTCAGAGTGTCAAGAGGGTGAGTTATTGAATACAGCATGTTCATTTCTGGGTGAAGAAAATGCATAATGTATCAGACTGCAATTGATAATGCGAAATGTGCCACCATCAAGGTGACGCTTTATTAGACATGAGTGTGAATTATTTTCTTATATGGAACATTTTTCTGTCATAGAGAAGAAACAATTTGAAAAGAATGTCTCTGTCCCAGATGGCATTCTCAGTCATGTGGTCTGCACTTGGCCACACAGACTTCTGGGTAGTGGTGTGCTGGAAGGCCACATCAGTGTGGGTCTGGCAAAAGGGGGTATTGAGAATGCAAAGCATTCATAATTGCAAAGCATTCATAATTGCTACCTGCTTAAATATTTTAGAGCTTGAAATAACTAAAAAAAAAATTTATATTATAAAAATGCCCATGGAGTTATAGGATTTAATTAATTTACATGATAAAAAAGTTGTTTATGGTGTGAATTAAAATAATAAATATCTTCATTTTTAGTAGTTTTAAGTCATCTTGAAGCGCCCTTGGAAGTTTGCTGAGGCCCCCTAGTGGGCCCCAGACCCTTGGTTTAGAACTATCGAGTTACATTAAACACACCATTTGTGACAGGGCCTATATAGTTAAAGTTTACATGTTTATAAAAATAGCTACCTGAATAATACTATCTGGCTTAATGGCACACTTTATTACCCACATGAGTCTTTTGAACTCAAGAACTCAGAAAAACAGAAAAATGGTTGCGCTTTTGCAATGTGAATGGCTAAACATTTGCATCTGTGTTTGTATACTTGTGTCAAGTATGCTTCTGACCCAACAGTTAATAAGGTGAACAAATTTTACAACAGTTATTGCCAAAATAGATGCATCTGGTTTCTGTGTTAACATAGCAGGTGGAAATTGTCTTTAATGAACTGTTTATGAACCACAAGAGAAATTTAGTGTTTATGAAGGTCCACTGCGATACGATCAACATGATCCAAATGTGCAGTTTCTAACACCAGCATTGCCTTTTTAAAATTCTTGTCACATGGTTTTGATCATGGTTGACTATTTTTTGCCATGAGCTGATAGCAGATGTTATGTTTATGTTTGTCTGTTTAGTCTCTTTGTTAAGACTTAATCATTGGAAATGATGCTAATTATACAGAATGAAAGCCAGTCGACACATTTGTAAGAGCTGTTTGTGGAATAGCCACAAATATGCAGTTATTTGAGATCAAGAATTTGAATTTTCGCTGCAATTTTTTCTCCATATCGGCATATTTTCTAGCAAAACAGGGTGGTGTAAAGGCCTCAATAATCTGTGTCATTTTATTTCTTGCAAATAAAGAAAGAGAGTTTGTGTGAGGAACAGGAAGTGAGAGGAAGGGGCGGGGATTGTTGTGCAGTGGGCGGGACTCACCTTCACACCTTCATGATGTGGGAGGAGTCAGAGTAGTCAGCAGAAGGGGGAGGGACCAGGCTGGTTGGGGAGGCAGGGGGACTGGGGACGCACTGGGCTGCAATGCAGTGAAATTATGGGGGGAAAAAATGTCAAAAGAAAACATATGCCATGAAGCAAATGAAATAGGAATTGTGGGACAGAGAGGTAGCTATATATACTGTCCTCTCACAGAGCCACAAGGCAAAATGAATCCTTGCTAATTTAATTTTTGACTATCAAAAATATGGAATGAAATGAAAGAAAACTATGAAGGAAAGTTCAATGCATGATTTTAAAATTAAAATTTTTTTTTTTGCATTTTGGTTGTCCATAAATGATGAATAAAAAATATATATACTGTATTTTTTTAAATCTCTCTATTTATACTGATGTTTGTCCTCTCTGCCTTTGTCAATTTATATATGTTCTGATGTTTAGTTATGATAACAAACCTGAATATATTCATAGTCATTAAACTGAGTAAAATCTCACTCTAGAGCAGTTCCCCAGTGAATCTAGATGGAACTAGACAGTGTGCTTCAGTAACGAGGTCACACATCTAGATGTTATCTAAAAGCTTTATAAATGTGTTGTGAATTCTGAAACAGACTGTGATAATAAAAATAATTCATATAATCATTTATATTATCATTTTCTTCTGCAAAATAACAAATCTAACAGTTCAACTAAGTCAAAAAACAACTCTAATTAAAGTGCAACCTCAGCACTGAAGTGTGGTGAAGTGTGCATTTAGGACATTGAGGAGCATGTGAAGGGCATGAGGGTCAGACAGGTGGGGTCACAGCTCGCCCAGGCTCCTCAGAGCGGCAGGCTTCCTCACCGGAGAGCAGCCGGCTACGGCGGGAGGCCTCGGCAGCCAGAGCACAGGAAATCTCGATGCGTTTCTCCTGCTCCTGAAGCTGCTGCTCTGGGTTACTGGTTCCCTCCACTGGCCCGTCCAACACCGGCACCACATTTTGCAGGCTGGAGAAAGACAGACAGGATATTAATATTCAATAAAAAAGATATATATCCTCAGATGTAATTAAAGTCATCTTTTCAAGTACTGATTTCACCTAAGAGGAAATTCTGCCAAGGTTTACTCAATGTTGTTCCAAACCAAACCTGTAACCTGTTTCCCAAAGAACACAAAAGTAAACTTTTGGACTTTTATGGTGTTTTCTTATACTTGTATTTTGACAGCTTGACCTCATTTTAGAAGTTTGACAGTCCTTAAGTTGTTCAGCAAGTATGGTATGGTTTATGGCATAACAACAAAAGGTTTGGATGGACAGAACAAAAACAAAATAAAGGGTACTCAGTGTGCAGTGGATGAGGGTATGATGTGCATCATACTTTGATTTGGCAATCAGTGTCTTGATTCTTTCAACTTTCTTCTGTTTCTCCCGCAGCTCTTCTGGGCTGAGTGGTGTACTGGGTTCAATGTCCAAGTATCGCTCAGGGATCAGGACTTTATCCGGCATGGACAGCTAGAGAAACAATGACACATATGTCCTTGCATATCTTTCACATCAGCCATTATTAAACAACTGGACAATGTACAACAAAAATGGTTGTTCATTGTGCAATGTGCAGTGACTTCTAACCTCTTTGTTGAGATCCAGGTCATAGTGTTCTGGTTCCACCTGTCGTCGCAAACGAGCAATTTCCTGCCTGGGTGACTCCACACCTTCTCCCCTCACGGCCGCCTCAAGATCCTTAATATCCACCTCATCAGTTGTTACTCTCCTCCGCACCTGGATATCAGGAAGAACAACTGGCTCAATGCTTGGCATGACTTTTAATACAAAATGGTTTCATAGAATATTTTTAATTTGTCTTACACCATCGAGAAATATTTTTTTCTTGTTTTAAGCATATACTTTATGGCACCCAATAAATGTATTCATTATTATAATATTTAGAATATATCAATAATATATTCTGCTGTCTTGCTACTTTCCAAGCAAATTTCAAGTTTACATTTTTTATTGGACTTTTATTAGATTTTTTTCACTGTGAAAAGTTAAGTGCCTTAATGATCTGACCCTTATAAATAGTAGGGATAAGAATTAAGGCAAGACACAACAGGTAAATTGGTAAAAGTTTAGCATAGCATGCTAAGACTATTGTACCTGGATAAAGCCAGGGTCAAAATTCCTGTTTCATTTTGTTGACGAGTTAATGTTATATATGTTATACATGATATATATTACATTATATATGTTATTTACTGTAATATGAAATATCTAATTCAAATCTACAGAAGAAAATAAAGTGTAAAAAATAAGCACATAAGTGTGTATTCTGGATGTTTTCTTTCCACTAGTCTAAAGCAAAAATAGCACAAAATCTCATGGCACAGAATGTCAAGCACAAAATCTAAGTGGTTTTCCTAGTGTTTTGCCTGTTGTGTCTCAAAACCATGAGCTACTGGTAATAATTAGGTGCACTGATAACCAGCCAGCCTTACAATAACAAGTCACTCTTCCAGTACAGAGAAAGAAAAAGATATTTAACAGTATGACACTAACCACTCTGTAGTTAGTAGAAGATTTGTAGCCATCAATGTTCTGATTGCTGGAGAGGTTGAGGCTGCGCCTCTTGTCTCTGACGGAGCTGCTCTGGTTTCTTCGTATCCTCTCATTCTGTTCCTCCACACTCATTTTAGACTTTACCTCTGCGGGGAACACCGCACTCTTTGGCCTCTCCTGGGACACACATACAACACCATTACATGCTGCAATCATAAAAGATTACCTATAATGCCACCTAGTCCTATACATACTGAATCTGAACCCATAATTTGAATCTGTTACTCATTTATATTGATTGAAACGAATGGTACTGGTTATATTTTATAGTTCTTCATATTTTCTTATAAATGTGGAACTACTATTAGAAACATAAACAATTTACTAGCACAGATTTAACTTACTCTGGAAATGTGACCATTGGACACCTTCCCATTTCTTCGTTGGACGCCATCAGAATTGTTCTTGTCTTGTGAAGACGACTTGGTCCTGGGTGGAACAATTCCAACTGCAAGGAAAAAGTCAATTATAAACTACGCTTTTTAGACCGGCGCCATTGCAAGGCAATAAAATCGAGTTTTCTGAGTTCTGAGTTTTTCAGTTGTCCATACTATAACCATAATATTCCATAATATAATTAACTTCATATATTCAGGAAAGGTCAAGAAAAATGTGAGCCCTTTTTTTCTTCGTACCTTTATTCTGGTTGGATTCTGCATCAAAGTCGTTGATCTTTTCTCCTTGTGAGTTGTAGTTGTGCTGGAACAAAACATAGCAAATGTAAACCCTAGTAAAAATATTCTAAAGGAATGTACAGGATTGCTAATGGAATTTCTGTTGTAATTAAAACCAGCCAACCCACTCTGACAGGATAAAAAAAAAGTCTATATGAATCTTATTTGATTCTTAACAGATCCTTTTAATCTGATTCCATTCTCATTGGTTTCATATTATTATTTATTTACCGTATATTAAATGCCTTTAGCAATCCAATACCTACATTTTTCAACGAGGAAACCATTTAAAAAACAAAACAAAAAAAAAACAATCAGCATGGGGCACAGTGGGGGCTTCTACAGGTTGCTCAACAGCGTGACGAATCGCAGCCTGTAAATGCATGAGGTTGTTGAGGCAAACATGACTATAAATAAAAGCAATGGAAGCATTTTTACACATCACAGCGTGCTGTCACCAGCTTGAATAAATGCAACACTAGCACAGACAAAAGCAAGCGCAAATAAAACAGGTACTAAGGACAAAAATGGGGCAACTACACAAGTGTGTATATGAAGAAACTTGATCTGTCTACCACACACACACGTTGGAGGGGAAAATGAGAGCTGTTGGAAGACAAGCTACTCTATCTGATTGATTTATACCAATATTTGCTATATCTTACAACAGATGTTATATTATGATGGCGTTTAGTTTGAGATAAAGTAATATATGACAAAATCATAAATATGTAACAGCAAACATGAAGTGAAATAGTGAAATGGAAAGAAAGGGAAGTAATGAAGTTAATAAGTCCAGGTGAAAGAAAGATGTTGTTGACGTTGTAAAAATTATCATGGCGTGAAAATGGACAAAGTGGAAGTACAATTCCTCGTTCTCGTAGTGCGGCCACCTCTCTGAGGTACCTTTCTGCTGCGGAATTCTTCGTTGTCCTTGTAGCCTTCCTGATGGATGCCTGAATGGGGGCCCATGCTGCGCAGCCAGGCATTGCTGTCTAAGGGTAGGGGAGGAACAGAGGGGGGAAAGGACTGGGAGGATTCCAGGGGCTGGTAAGATTTAGGAAGTGGAGGTCGTGGAGGACCAACCTCCTGTCGAGGGGAAAATAAAAAACAGGAAGTTGGGAAGAGAGACCAAAATATATGGATAGGGAAAGAAAGAAGGGCAGGGAGAAGGAGCGAAGAGAAGGGATGGAGAAGTGGAGAGAGAGCTGTGCATCAAGAGCGACTAAGCCAGGTGGAGGGCGGAGAGAATCATGGGAAGCATATAGACATGGATCCCTCACCACAACCACTAATAAACACTGACCTGCACACGACCCAAACATGTACTTTGCAGTTTTGGCAAATTTCTGCTAGCAAAGGCAACTGTGAGCTGGTTTAAAAGGCTTAGGCCAACAGTTTTAATACGGAAATTCTGGAAATGTGCAGTTCAGTCAGGAGCTGATTCTTTTAAATAAACAGCATGTGCTAGAAACCAGAAACGGCGTAAAACTCTGGGTATATTTTGGTAGTGTGTCACTGTGGGAGTAGGTCACCTATGAGTACTAACAAACACGCACAACCAAGTGTTTAAGAGTGACTACAACTAAGTAACAACAAAAAAAAAACAGAATAATTCAGGCAGAAAACAGGTATTAGACACTGAAATAATCTTTGAATCCCATTTCATGTCATTTAATCATCATTGCAGTTAGATTTATTCAACTCCTGATTAAGCTTATTGTGCTTTATCTTATGCTAACAAGCCAACAGAGTGCAACAGCAGCCAGCATTTGTCTAATTCATTTTGCCCATTAATTCATTTTGCCCATAGGGATTTTTTAAAAGTGTTTGTTTAGGAGTTATAAGCCATGAAACAAACCAAACAGCTACAAGGTGAATCAAAAGATTACAAACTTTGATTTGAAGGGGAAAAGAAATTGAAAATCAGACAAAAGACAAAGGTGCAAGACTGTCTACTTAACAGCCTTAATGAGGGAAAGAACCACAGTCCCATGAAGCATTGTGAAGGATATAATCAAACTGAAAATGATGAAAATATATAAAACTATTGATTTAAATATTCTAATTATGTATATAGAAACAGCATATTTAACATTTATTTCAAAATATACAAATTATGCATACAAATATTTAAATAGTTTGAGAGTGTAGGGAGACTGACTCCCATTATTATATCATTTGCAGTGATTTATGGGAGTGTGCGGATGCTTAGGCTGCAATTAATTTTTCTGCCATTCTCCAATTGATGACAATTTCTCTGCAGAATCATGGGCAATGTAGTATTTCACCAGGAATTCCACTGTTAAACATGATTATTTACAAAATAAGTTGAATTAATGCAGGCTGATGATTTAAATGCATATAACATCAATTAACATCCTCGAAACACAATTCAAAATGTATTCCCTATGGAGAAAATGAATGGGATTTTTACTTCCATAACTGTTGCACTCTACTATGGCATCTTAACAAAATAAAAGTCTTTTAAAATTATCACCACAACTCAATGGCAGTAGACTACGGTTAGAGGTTTCTTTAAATGAGCATAGTACAGCAAATCTAATTTATTTTGAATCAGAAACAATTCAGGATAAACGAAAGTAGCGAGTCCTATGATCAGACTTGATTTAATTAGGAGAAGCAGAACAATTTGATATCCCCTTCGGCATTTAAATGAAATGATCTGGTACAGTATATGCTGCTGTATTGTATTCTGTACACTGTAACGAGTAAGACAGTCTTTCATTGAAGAATAATGCTGTGTGAAATACCTCTGTGGCCAGCTGTTTAGTGGGAGAGGCCTGAGAGCCAGGGACAGGAGAGAAGGGGCTGAGAGGACTCGTCAGACTCACTGAACTCAAGGGACTCGCAGGACTGTTTGTGCTGAAAGAGCCGGATGCTCCACTGGCTACTGGGTACAGAGACAGATTATAGAGTTAAGGACCTATGTCACGACGTCAAAAGTAACCTAATATTCTTCCCTGTAATATGCTCTACTTTGCTGTAATTGTATTCCAACAAAAAAGTAATCAAATTATAAAACAAATGACACTGCTCTCTGTTTCCCAATTACTAAGCCTGTTTCACATCTCACGCACGGCATTAAGGCAACTCTATACATAGAAAATACAGGACAATCCGAGGGCAAATCTTAATGTGAGCTTGCAGTTGATTGCAAGAATGGGACAGGGTTTATGTAGACTAAATGACTGGAAAAGTCATTTAAGAGAAGCATATGTCATAAAAGAATGTCGTTTCACCAGACGATCCGGTTATGATTAAAAATTAAAAATTACGAGCCAATTTTACAAATGAAACATATGCATGCATGGAAGAATCACTCACAATAAGATCAATAACATGCATTTAAAAAAATTCATAACCAGAAACTGGTCAGAAAGAAGTTGTTCTTCTGCTCTGCAGGACCACATTGCTAAGTGCCAAAATAAACAGAGATTATGCATGACGCTGCGCAGTAACAGATCATCTGACCTCTGTGCTTAGCCGTGTCCGTGCCACGAGACGGGTTGTTCTTGTGCAGCCCCTCCAAAACATCCTGAACCCTCCAGAACTCCCTCTGAATGTGCCCGTGTACCAGCTCACTCTGGAAGGAAAGAACAGAAAAGACATGCATTATTGAAGCTCTGTCAGGATCATTACATTAAAGCATATTCATTCTTATTAATAATTAATGAGAGAATCACATGCCGTTCAATTACTGATTGCATAATTCATTTCCATTCAAAGGACTTCTTGTTGCATTAAATAGATAATTGCTATGGATCTTAATTTAATATTCAAATTAATTCTGTATCATCAAGGTCACCTCTTTACTACAGTAATGCCCTCAAGGTAAATCAATCATGTAAAATGATCATGACAGTGCTGAATGCAATGGAGGTCATTTGCATGATGCAAACGCATAATTGCATGTGCTCATGAATAAATGATTTGTCTAAATGGAAAGATGGCAGAAGTCATTAAGGGCTTGTAGTTTCAAAGTTCAAGGTTTCCTGGTAACTAATGACGATGATGACAAATGTGAAGTCAGTATCATACCTGCCCTCCAGCGTTCAGCTGTTCCCACAGGTCACCATGGATGCTGTTTACTTCATCCTCTAGTGCTTCGAACTCCATACGGGTGGTGGTCAGGGCCTGTGAAGTACAATTAACAAATGAAATAACACCATTTATTAAAATCAATTTCACTAGCTTAGATTGTGTTTTCATAACAGTGTAAAATTGTCTGGTTTCTTACACTGGAGGCCTGAGACAGCTCTCCTCTGATGTTAATCAGCTTGTTTTGTAGACTCTCCTTCTTCAGCTGAAGTTTCTCCATGGCCAGCGGCTGGCTCCTGTACAGCTCCATCTCCTGATGTGTGGCCACCAGCACCCCCTCTAGACTGTCCTGGATATTACAGAAAACAGTCAAGTGAGTAAGGGCAGTATTTGTAGGCATAAATTGATCATGTAATGTTAAATATTAAATTAATAAAGCATTATTTCTGTTAATATTATAATAAAGTATATTATAATAGTATTTCATATTATATTTGATGTTGAGCCAGGAACCTTTTTTTTTTAGAGAACTCTTAAAAGCAACAAATGTACCTTTTCCATTCGCAAACGATGAACTACAGCCTCCTGCTCTTTCACAAGTCGATTCTGCTCACACAAGCGGCCCAGTAGTTTCTGTACAGACACAAAATGAATTGTTCATGGGTCTGTTATGTGAATGACAATCATTTATAAAGTTGTACATTTATGGATGTCTTTGATCAGACAAAGTGACTTACACTGGTCTCAATCTCATTAAGCTTCAGCGTGGGATGTAGATCACCGTACACATCATGGAATGGAGGCACCTATAATCAAAGAGAATGGATCAAATGGAAATATTAGTGAAAGTGAGTCTTTTTCTTTTTTTAATTTGATTTCGGACAAAAGTAAAAAAAGATTTAAAATAATAGTATAATGAACAGTAAACAATGATACTAATAAAAATTACATATTTATTTGCTCAAAATTAAAATAAATAAATACAAAAACTTTTTAAATTAATAAATACTGTAAATAGATATTAGCCATTGCAATGTGCCGTTTGCATTATTCAGCAACAAAAACCATCCCAAATGCTGTGTCAATGATAAGCCCCACCGTGTGAAGGCTATACACTGAAAATGGCTTTCTTGCTTGATGGCGTGAGTGGATAAGACACATACTGTACACAGAGGACAACAGCAAGACACACAATGACCACACAATAGAGGATGTGATATTGGGCAAACGAGCACTGGAAATGGCGGGATTCAGATACACAAAGTAAAGCAAAAAAATCTTAAAACCAAAGAGAAACTGAAGATTGTGGCTCTCATAGCTGAATTTAAAGGTTAAGGCTTCAAAACTAAGGCTAAGTTCACTTAAACCTGAAGCACTATCAAAACATCCAACATGCCACATCGACCAGGAAGCACAGAGAGAGGCAGGCTCCGTCACAACCTCAGAACAGCCTTGTCTGAGCCTAACTTTGCCAGAAAGAGGCTGAACTGAGGTTCAGTAGCGCAGGAATAGCAGGTAGAACAGCAGCCTGCCTCTCTAGAGGAGTCTAGACTCTCTTACTTGTGAGAATAGTTTTGCTCGAGGAGAGGAACGCTCAACCATTCTGGTTACCATGCCGATTAGGTGATCACCATCTGTCATCTAGGGCAAAACACACCATCATTCACCTGGCTATATGCCTGACCTTGAGTATGGCCGACGTTGATGGAATCTATACTTGCAATGTCCACACTGGGGCCGAGTTTTCACACTTTCTCACACTTTTTAACTTTTTATTTTTGAAAGTCATTACACTACCGCTAAAAAGTTTAGTGCGGTAAAGATTTTTTAATGTTTCTGAAACAAGTCTCACCAAGGCTGCAATTACCTGTATTTGATGAAAAATACAGTAAAAACAGTAATATTGTGAAATGTCATTACAATTTAAAATAACTGTTTTATATTTTAATATTTTTTTTAATAAATTTTTTCCTGTGATGGATTTTCTTAATTTTCAGCAGCCATTACTCTAGTCTTCAGTCACATGATCCATCAAAAAAAAAATTTTGTTTTAAATATCGAATTATTTCCAATGATCAATGTTTAAAACAGTTGTGCAGCTTCCTATTTTGTGTAAATTTACTTTAGATTAACTTTTTCTCAGATTCTTTGGTCTAAGGAAGTTCAAAATAACATTTATTTGCTTTATTTAAATAGCATTTATTTGAAATAGAAATCTTTTGGTTTCCCCCTAGTAAAAAAACTGAATATATTTAAAATACATTTATTTCAAACTAAGTATAGTTCAAATCTATTCACTGAAATATCGCCCGAGACTTACTGATATAAAAAAGTTTAATTAAACTTTTTACTTTATTTATTTCTTCATAAGCCTAAAATGTGTTTTGATGTCTCTATTGATGAGGATTGCATGATCTTTGAATAATATCTGCCTTTAAATCTAAGATACTTAAAGTGTACCTGAAGTATACTTGCAATAGTTCCACTTTAGCATAATCAAATATACTTCAGCATATCTTTAGTTGGACTTCAACACTACTTCCGTACAATTAAAGTGCATTAAGTACAAAATTAGTGGTTTAAATTTAGCAAACTGGTAAAGTAGCCTATACCAGTTTAGTATACTAAAATACAATTGCAGGTTTTTTTTTTTATTAAGCACATAAATATGTAAATGTATTTGTAGTATACTTAGCATAAAATAAATGTATTTCAAATACATTTAAATATATTTATTTTTCACTAGGGCTGTCATCAAATATCCTTTAACAGGCATATCAGAAAAATATAATCAGTAAAAATATGAAACAATAAACAATTCATAAAACAGCAAAACTGGTAACACAGAGAAATATCCCATTTTTGACGGAAATTGTAATTAAAATAATTACTGAAATTAATTAATAATTTCAAAAATATTAAAAATGTGACAATTTGCCCAGAACTGACAAAAAGCATTATAATTTAAGACTTTTTGATCACGATTTCAAAACCAACATATAAAAAAGCACTGCTACAGAAAACATATTTATGTTACAGTTCCTGGGATATAACCCCTCGTGACAACTTCCCCATGTGACAACTACGAAGAAGCCATATATAGCAGCCGCTGCTGTTAACATGCAGCTGTTATAAAATTAGAAAACCCTTTCAAATCAGTGTGAGAACTGACACACAGAGGAGAAGACAGTGAGAACAGGAAAAATGTTTGAGAGGACCGTGACTACATTAATGACATGGTTGTTTATGTCTTGAAGTGGGCAACCAAACAACGGTCAGTCTGTTCTCTATCGACTCTTTAAAGTGAAGCCAACAATCAAAAGCTCTGTTCGAAAACTTAAGTGAGCTGCCTCTGTCTACTGCCTGCTTTCTAAAGCAGCATCCTAACTAAAATGGAATTTCATTAGTAATCTACATTTTCGAGATTTAATCATAATTAATATTCTTTTCATATCACTTAGTTGAGTAGCTCACTAGGTTTCGGACGAGAGCTAATGTGTGCTGTCAGCATTGAATCTCCTACCTGCTGATCTAGGTACTCCAGGTTCCTCTGAAGCTGCACGTCTAAAATGTCCTCCTGATGTGTGCAGTGAGGCAGCAGCAAAGCCCAGTGTGTCAAACCCAGCAGCAGCATACAGCACGCAAAAGCATCGGATGGAGAGACGGAGACCGAGACACAGGTGAGGACAGACACATGCTGATCACGGCATCGCTTATCACAGCAAAGCGCAGAGCATCACACTCTTACCAGCAGATAATTACACAGTCTCCATCATTCAATTGCCAGGCTAGTGCACTTGATCTTTTGCACATACAAATTATCAGTCACATGATTGCATGATTAGCTGGTTCTCTATTGATAAGGCTTCAGATGGTGTGTTTCATGCTAAACACATTCACAAATGCTTTAAAGTGTTGACTTACCATTTTACTATGGAGCGAAGGGGATGCTGGGTAGTTGTAGTGGTGCATTCCTTGGCTGTAGGAGCGTCTATCTCCAGGGAAATCATACTAGAACACGAACAATTATAGTAATTTAAAGTCAGACACAAAGAAGGCAAAATAAAATAAAATAAAATATTCCTATATCAATCATACTAAACCACAAACAATTATAGTAATTTAAAGTCAGACACAAAGAAGGCAATATATAATATAATATAATATAATATAATATAATATAATATAATATTCCTATATCAATCATACTAAACCACAAACAATTATAGTAATTTAAAGTCGACACAAGAAAGGC